AACTACCTACTACTACCTACGCACCAGACCGACGAACGACCCGTCCGACGACAGTGCGACCGCGTCGTTTGACGCTCTTCTGCGGGGCGACCTGTCATCGACGGTGTCACCCGTGTTCAATTAATCATAAAACGGACCTAGTGCGAGACGGTATGTAATATTGATTAAGCTCTATATTCAATTCATATTCAATTCATCTAACTTTATTTACACTTAAGGAAGATATAATTTACAAGATCAAGAGTTACACAAATTAATTAACAAAGCTAATTAATTATATTAAAAATAAAAATAAAATCTATAAGACGGTAATAAGAGAATGAAATAACAACTCAGGAGTGTTCAGTCGGTCTTACCTTTACATAGCCCTTCTACAACTATGTCCTGTTTCCGAAAGTGGAATTCATCATTGTGTCTCTTGCCATTGGAACGCATGCCAAAAGAGACCCGCGGAAAATTGGATAAAATGGTGGGAGAATGTACAAATCTAAGAGAAATCGTGCAGTCTTTGCTTCAGAACGGCTGCCAAAAAAGTGGCCAGGGAAAATGGAAAATGGTGGTCCTGAGGAAATTTTTACAACTACAACAAGAGCAATCGGATGATAGCAAACCTCCGCCACAGCCGTAACGTTCCCCAAAATTTAAATAAAAAATCCGATCAAAATCCGCTCCGGAGCTTTTTTGATGATTTCCTGTTAGACAGAGCAAACAAACAAACAAAAAACAACAAGGAAACAAACTACAGGGAATGTCCCTTGGCGGACGGTAACTAGAGAAATCGATGGGCATCGTGGCGCGCGTGGCTATAACCTGCGATTGAACCTGTGTTCGCAGACCATGTTCCGCTACTCCACACACACACGCGCACACACACACTAGTCACACACACCACACACACACACACACACACACCACACACACACACACAATCACACGCCACACGCACACGCCCACACGCACACGCACACGGCGCGCGCGCGCGGCAGCTGCCGATGATAATTAACTGTCTCCTGGATCTAATTACCGCGTGATGACAAAGATTAGAGTGAAGAGGCGAAGAGCTCTGTTACTCTCTGTACCGTTAATGAGGTCCTCGCGTGCCAACTCGTGACTGGTGTAAAGTAACAGTACCTATCGTACAGTGTACTGCTTACTGCAGTATTGTTACACATTGTACTGATAAATGCCCTATCGTGCCAGTGTACTTGTACTGAGCCTACTGTACACAATATATGTACCATGTACATGTATCGCTGTACGGTGTACTATACTTATCGTACATTTGCTACTGTACTGCAGTACTGATAACACATATTGTACCATGCTACTGTATCGTGTACTGTATACATATCGTACATTGGTACCTGTACTGCAGTACATGTTACACATATTGCTACCATGTACTGTATCGTGTACTATTACTTATCGTACAGTGTACTGCTACTAGTATACTGTACACATATTGCCCACCAATGCATGTACTGTTCATGTACTGTATACCTGTCGCTACAGTGTACTGTTTACTGAATACTGTATACATATCAATTGAGTACATAATTAGAGACCTACCGTACAGTGTATCCTAGCTGCTACTTAGATTCTGGGTTCCTATTTGCAGCATTATATTACTAACGTTTTGGGCTTATTGTTGCGACCGTGTATTGACTTAGTACTATATGTACTATCGTGCAGTATACTGCTACCAACTAGGTATAATTGGTATCGTATAACGTGGTGAGGTTATGTTTACAAATGTGCAGGTGCAAATTGTTTGCGTTCACCTTACAGTTTTACTGTACGTACTGGGCTAGATGCTTAGTTGCTGCACACACTACCATCCTCGCTAAGCCGCGCCCCACGTAGCGCCATCTGCGTACTGTTTGAGTCATGGGGCGTTAAATTCCCGGGGTGCGCGTGATAGGGGGATGCGATCCTCCCCCGCCCCTTGAAGGAGGGGGATGGCCTGTACAAATATCCCCCCTGAGATTCAAAAAAAAAACTCCTTACCTCCGTGCCCCACTTGAAAAGTTCAGCTATTAATGATAATTGGAGACATTGGGCAGACCTAAATCGTTCAATTACTGCGACGGGCGTGTACAGCGTCGTGCGGGAGGGCGTCAGGGGGTCCGGACCCCCTCCCTTCTGTCGCGCAAGAAAACGCCATCTGAGGGCGGCGTCTTAATTTCAAAACATTTCCGGGGGAGGGCCCCCAGACCGTTTGAGGGGACTTCGCGTGATCATCCCCCCCCCACTCTCGGCTACGCGATTCGCCCCTGGTTTGGCAGTCGTAGAATGCCTACTAGACCACAGGCCACTTTATATATATATATATTTATATATATATATAGTATATATATATATATATATAAGCCGTTCATAATAGAGGCTTTATTATGGACTCCTTGCATTATATTGTGTGTGTAGATTGCGCGGGGTGCGTTTATGGCGGTGACTGTAAGCTGAATTGCCCTTCGAGATGCCTGTTGCGAGTGACGGCACAAGAGATTGAAGAGACGCGGTCGAATACTAAAATTGCTATTTTTTCCTCTAACTTAAAAATTCTTCTTCACTTCACATACCTTTTATCTCAACTTCCTCCTACAACTAACGAGACTTGCGATTCGTCTGCCTACAAGGCTGGCCAGCACGGCGCGGCGGCCACGCATCGACTCGGCGGCGGTGCGAGAAGTCCGCGCTCGAAGAAGCCAGCGCGGAATTCGTACGACGGTTCACGCCAGCACGCAGCCTTGAGCGCGCTCGAGCGTGATGTTCGAGCGCACGCACTACCCGTACGGTCCCCCATGTGCGCGACGGAGCTGACCGCCAGCAGGCATCAACCTCTCTAGCCGCAAGGCGCTGGTGGTGCAGGTTCGTGCCGGGCCGCGCCTCCTCTTCCTCTGCGTCCGCGCTTCCTCTTCCTTCTCAGTCCGGCTTCCTATCGGAACCTTGAATAGGCTCCTCCCTCCTCCCTTCAGCCCCTCCTTCCTTCCTTCGGGTTTTCCCGCGGCTCCTCCCTCCTCCCTCAGCCCCTCCTTCCTTTCCTTCGGGTTTTCCCGCGGCTTCCTCACCTCCTCCCTCACCCCTCCTCCTTTCCTTCGGGGTTTTCCCTCGCGGCCTCCTCCCTCCTCCCTCAGCTCTCCTTCCTTTCGGGTTTTCCCGCGGCTCCTCCCTTCCTCCCTCAGCCTCCTCCTCCTTCGGGTTCTCCGCGGCTCCTCCCTCGGCCTCGGCCCCTCCTTTCCTTCGGGTTCTCCACGACTTCTCCCTCCTCCCTCAGCTCCTCCTTCCTTCGGGTTCTCCCACGACTCCTCCCTCCTTCCGCTGGTACCACCGTCCTCCCTCGCTGCCTCCCTCCTCATCTGGCTCCTTCTTTATGAACTCCACCTCCTCTTGATTATCCCCTCAGAGTCGCCCTCCTCTAAGCTTCCCTCCACCGGAGCAACTCCCACAAGCGGCTTCCTTTCTCCAGGCTCGCACCTCTTTCTAGGGCTTCCCGTTCCCGCTGGTTCTTCTCCTTCTAGCTCCACATTCCTACCGACTTTTTCTTTTTCATATCTACCCTTACCTTTCCCGTCAAGCGAGCCCCGATCTTGGCACAAGTGCAGTCAGTATTGACACCGCTGTCCTTGGCCACGGCGCATCCTAAACCCTTTGTACATTCTAGACACCTCACGTCCCACCGCCCACTGCCCCAGGTGCTAGTCACCCACACGCTTTCCCACCATATCCATCTCGCCCACCCTAGCAATTAGGCAGCGGACGCCACAGCCAGGATGCTAGTCCAGCCCACACGCTCCCACCATTCCCATCCTCACGCCGCCTACGCAATAGTAGCTGGGAACGACCACAGCCCCAGGATGCTAGTCACCCACACGCTCCCACCATTCCATCTCACCACCCTAGCAATAGTAGCGGACGCCACAGCCCCAGGATGCTAGTCACCCACACGCTCCCACCATTCCATCTCACCACCCTAGCAATAGTAAGCTGGACGCCAAGCACGCCATGGATGCCTAGTCACCATCAACGCTCCCACCATTCCATCTCACCACCCTAGCAATAGGGAACAGCCCCGACTCCCCCGACCAGGGCCCCGCACCGCCGCGCACCCTGCCGGTGACGACGGGAGACTACGCGGGGTGGCCTGGCCAGTACGTCGACGCCGGCTACTACAAGTCACAACAGGTGACCTCGTCCACGCAGCTCGGCTATGCCGCCTACGCGCAGCACGGCTACGGCGTCGGCGTCGGCGACGGTGACGAGGATGCGTGCGGCATGCCGACGCCGTGCGCGCAGCGAGCGTCGCGACCGCCCGTCGGCCACAGAACGCACGAGTACAACCACCAGCACAGCGCATGCGCCGAGGTCCTGCCGTGAAATCCGGTCGCCCGCCCATCCACCGTCCTCACTGATCGTTAAGTTGAAGATGACGTCGGTGCGTGGGTTGTGAGGTTTCCTGTCTCGGGGATTGGCGCCGGTGAGGACATATTGGGTGTTGGCTACGCCGAAGATGCTGGCACGAGTCTTGTGAGATTTTCTCTTGTGCTTCTGTGATGGTGTTGCAGAGACGGAACGAGGTATTGGGTGTCACGTAAGAAGGGTGATGTGCGAAGTGCTTACTATGGGATACGCCTTCCCCCCCTCCCCCCATCCGTGCACTCTCTTCGCGGGTAGAGGGTCGGATAATGGGTGTCAGTTAAGAGGGGTGATGTGCGGAGAGTACCTGAGGTACCGCGCTCCCCGCTCCACGCACATACACGATCCTGTTCATCGTTGGTAAGAGAGGGTAGGTTGTCTGTGACTGGGTGTGTGCTGTATTTCGTACATCCACTGTCGCTGCAATAGTGATCATGTTCATACGCACAGTGCCAGCTCATCGCAAGGCTACTAATAAGTTTACACGTGAAGACGAATGCTAAGGTTCGATTCTCAGCTATATAGGAATAGTATGTGACTACTAGAACAGTAAGTAGATGTGTACGGGAACACGTAAGATTTAGTGTATTCGATAAGCTATTGAACCCCATGTGCGTGCCATTACAGAGCCGCTCGTTATAGAGGGGAGGGATCGTAGAAAGGTGTCGTAAGCACCTTCATTCATAGTCATCCCTGGTCGAACGCATTCGACACTGGCGCCATCATGTAATTTTGCGAGTCGTGTGGTGTCAATGTGATAGTAACAATACGCGCGATTTATACAGTCGGGCAAGAAAAATATCAAGAGTCAGTTTAAATGCTTACGTTAACGGGCCCCTGTCTAGATAAGTACCCGATCTAAGCATAATCGTGTATATGTATACGATATAGGGCAGTCGGTATATGTTGTATATTAGATCTGTTTCTGCTCAAGTTAGTCCATCCGTTCTGATGTTTCCGCGTGCAATGTATGTCGGCACGTCGTTGTAAATATATAATATTTGAAATATTAACGCAAACACTCCTCTTACGCTGGAAATTTCTGTTAAACGATAGATTAACATGATAAAATGTTGACAAGGTGCCGTCAGTGTGTTTAAGCAACGATGAATACAAGTAGTGCAAAGCTGTGCCACTCGCATGTACATAACTACAAACATCACCATCTGTGCGAACACAGGCCTGCAATAATTCATCAAGCAGACACAGATAACAAATGGCTTCATTTGTGTTCATTCACTAGTGTGCTAAATAGAAAATAAGTATTTCGGAACTGGCTGAGGCAGTGCTATTGGAATTAATACAAGCGCCCTATAGTTGTTATCGATGAAGCTTTTCAATAACTCGGTCATCTTCGTAAAACATTCGGAATTTCAGATGATCCGTAAATTTTTTCGAGATATACAATAATCATGATAGGCCTAATTATATCTCGTACAAATAATTTATATATTTACGTATTATAATTGTTATAGCATCAATATGGAGTGCTATTAAATATTCGATGATGCTTTATATAAATTAATGTAATATATTTATGTTATAACACGTAATTTAACATAAAGATTAAATATACATAAAACATGTCGAGCATCTTATAATCATAACGATTTTAGCAGGAGTGTATAATAACAAGAGTAGATTAGCTACTCTTGATAATAACAAGGTAATAAAGCTCTTTATTCCACACTCCTGATTCCGGCATATAGTCATGACTATACTTTACATTTCAAGCATAAAGATTAATAGAAGTCAACATAATATAATTATAATACTATGTTATATAGTAAAATAATGTTTTACAATTTAATATGATTATGTAACCGTATACTATCATACTCATAGGCGAATCACAATGCGGTATAATATCGAACACTAGTAAACGGAGTAGTACTAGTAACTGTTCTAGTAATAAATGCACAGCCTTCCAATACTAATAATAAAATAATAAATAACAAAAACTCTTAAGCAACGATATTAAGCAACAATCGCAAAGACATTTTGAATATCATCCCCAATTCTCTTTAGAAGGAACATATCTATTAAAATGTTGACGGCATAGCAGCGAATCTAATATTGATACAAACGCGATTATTTTCTAACATTGCAATACACATGTATATTACATCAGGTGTATATAATCTCTAGATAACTATCTGTTATCATTTACCCCTGATTATGCTATGTCTATTATCATTGAAAGTACTTTAGTTACGGGACATACATATGAGGTGAGCTTGTTTGGTGCTAGCTACTAGATGAACTTTGTTAAAACAGCTACATTGGCATTGACTGACTGCGCGGGCTTCCGGCTATGTACTCATACACCAATATTGACTGTAAGCTATCAATCAATACTGACTGTGTAAGCTATCAATCAATACTGACTGTGTAAGCTACCAATCAATACTGACTGTGAAAGCTATAAATCAATACTGAATGTGAAAGCTTCCAATCAATATTGACTGTGTAAGCTATCAATTAATACTGACGTGGTAAAGCTAAAACCAATCAATCACTGAAACTGTGTAAAGCTACCAATCAAATAGACTGAATAGCTAATCATATCAACTAATTGACTGATGTAAGCTATCAATCATATTGACTGGTAAAGCTTAATCAATATAATACTGACAGTGTAAACTGCCGATCAATACTACTGAACACGATATCAAAATAACAAATAATACCTAAGACTGTGTAAGCTATCAATTCAATGACTACGTGTGGATCACTATCAATCAATACTGACTGTGTAAGCTACCAATCAATATTGACCAGGTGTAAGCTACCAATCAATAATGACTGTGTAAGACGCTCATCAATGCTGACTGTGAAAGTTAACGGCTAACTATCCACCACCACCCAGACTAGCCATAAGTAGGCAACGATATGCGGGTGTGCTCGAAGGTTCGTGTACAAGACGACCCGCTCCATGCAGGGGGCGTGACGCAAGCAGGTTCACCGCAGCAACACGTGACGAGTCGCACGCGTAGCATCGAAGGTCTGCTCTCAGTTAACGATGCCACCGCTGCTGCCACAGCCGCCAGCCTGCCTGCTGCTGCTGCTACACACCGCACCGCTACAAGATACAATACTAGGCAGCAGCAGCAGCAGCAGCAACAACGGAAGCGGCAGAGGTAGTAGTGGCTGCAGTAGCACCAATCAGCGGTATAAGCATCAGTTTCAGCAGTATCAGCGTCAACAACATCAGCACTAGCAGCAGCATCCGCATCAGCGTCAATGTTAGCGGCACCGGCAGCAGCAGCAGCAGCAGCAACAACAACAACAACAACAACAGCAACAGCAGCAGCAGCAACAACAACAACAACAACAACAGCAGTAGCATCAGCAGCAGCAGCGGCGGCATCAGTAGCAACAACAACAAACAACAACAGTAGCAGCAGCAGCAGCATTAACAACAACAACAGTAGCAGCAGCAGCAGCATTAACAACAACAACAACAGCAGCAGCAGCAGCAGCAGCAACAGCCGACACGCTACTGCCGTCATTCCTCATGCAATCGCCGCGTCTGCTTCTCATTAACTCGCAGTCGAACGGCGGCAAAAACCGCCAACACCTGACACCGCGCCAGTCAGGACGCGGGCGTGCGCGCGGGACGAAAGAGTTACGCATCTTTCCGCTCTGCGAGAGACGTGGTCGCAAGCGGCTCCCGCGGGACGTTTTTTTTTCGAGCGCAGACGCGAGTGGTAGGATTTTTTCTGCCGGGTGATTCGTCGGATGGTTTATATGGCGTTGGAGCATCGACGGAAGCGTAGGCGAGACCAGCAGCTCCTTTCATCGCCGCCTGATTCTGAGAACGATCGCTTCACAGATTACACGTTTATTATAACGCGTGTCTATATGCATCGCGGATATTGCTTTATATAGTCCGCCAGCATGCTTAGTGATTATAATGTGCGATTATGGCTTAATTAAGGACGTTAAAGCGTAGCTTCTGCATGTGGGAATATTGGTCTATCTCTCCCCCGTGAGAGAACGGCGATCGGAGGTTTCATACTTACTTAGACTGACACCGTACGTCGGTTAGCATCAACACGTGACATGCACGAAGAACTTTGGAATCCGTTTATTATTTACGCGTCATTTTCCGCTTCAGCTACACATTTTCATTTAATAATAAAATATAATGAAATATTATTTAATAATGAAATATTTAGTAAAATAATGAAATATTATTTAATAATGAAATATTTAGTAAAATAACGAAATATTATTTAAATGGCAGCTTTTAAGGTGCGAGATTTCCGTTCTTTGCATAGCGAATCAATATGAAGAGTGGAATTAAGCGTTAGTAGACTATATCAGAAGTTAATAATGAAAAATTTATATTTGTCAATATATTTTGATAATTTGTCATTATTAACCCCTGACTAGTGTATATGTTATAAATTCAGTCTTCTTGTGCATACATGTGCGCATGAGATGGCATCGACAGGGCATAGCATGGCAACCATATGATCCACAACGTAATCCGCATCCACATCCGATCCGTAATCCACATCCGATCCGTAATCCACATCCGATCCGCAACGTACGTTGACACGTTTCATGTCTAGACTTACTTTGCGTACACTGCCAGATATATGGGTATATCCATAGAAACAAGAGCGTATAAAGAAGCCTTCTTTATAGGGGTGTTGCTATCCCCCGGGCGTGGAGGGAGGTCACGTGATAACGCTGACGATGACGTTCAAGACGTTAACCCTAACGGTAAACCTCACTACAACAACGCCAACACTAACACTCACACTAAATATATATGTATCGCCGCGCTATATATAGGCATTGTGATCCACAAAAATTAATCTATGGTGTGGGGACAGATATCATGATGCAAAAACCTTAACTCTAACCCTAATCCTAACCCTAACCCTAATCCTAACCCTAACCCTAACCCTAATCCTAACCCTAACCCTAACCCTAATCCTAACCCTAAC